CTCAGAAACCATATATACAGGGTCGCTATGAGTCAGAGCCAACTCAACGGCACTTAGCACTTCTCCTTAATCATGAGTGTTGTCTGCAAGTTCTGTGTGTTCAGTGCCCAGCAGAGAGGTAGAGAGTGCCATGAGTCATACCTCTAAAAAGCTTGTAGGAAGGAGGAATGTCTGACCTTATCCTCAGAGGAACCAGCCTTGAGCTGTGGCTCTTGATTTTCCTTCCCTCTTGGGAAGTTAAAGGTCAGAGGTCTCCAGCAGGTCATGTGTACACTGCCCCATGATCTGTGTATGTGTCCGAGCTCCAACTCAGCTGTATCAGCAAGTAATCTTCTTTTTCTCCTAGACCTTTTGGTGGTGGTCGTGGTGGTGGGATGCTGCAGAGTCGATTCCGTCTCACAGAGACCCTACATAGGGTTTTGGAGGCTGTAAATCTCTCTGGGAGCAAAAAGCCTCATCTCTCTCCTGTGGAGTGCCTGGTGGACTCGAACTGCTGGCCTCGTGGTTAGCAGCCCAACGCATAACCCACTATGCTACCAGGGCTGCTGCATGTGCTTGTAACGTTACTTATCTTACATGCTTGTAGTGATACTTATATCTGCGGGTCTTGTCAAGACACCTCTTCAGATCCACTGGAAAATGAAGCAGTTAAAATAAGAGCGTACCTGAGACTCGGTCATTTTCTGTGGCTCTCGGGAAGCAGTCAGTGACCCCAGAATCTGCTCAGCGGACTCTCCTATCTGTACCCGGAATTGCGGGCTGACGGAAGCACCAGCAACACGACAATTTGTCTAGGACCTCACCACCTTACGTCATAGGACCCATCTTAGGACCCATCTTGTCGCAGGAAGTCAAGACCTATGGATTTAAGGGGAATATTCATTTTTAAGGCGCCCTGCTGGTGTTAGAGGATAAGCACTGAACTCACTAACCAGAAGGTTGGCAGTTCAACCCCACCAGCTGCTCCATGGGCGAAAGATGAGACTTCTTCCCCAGGGGGGTAGGGAAGGGAGAATTATTCACTGGGTAGAGTGTAGACGCGGGCTAACTTGGATGACCGGGAACACAGTTAAGAAGAAAAGGCAGCAGAAACAAGAAAAGAAAAAGGGAATGGCTTTCTTCAAGTGTTCATATGCTGGGAGGGAAACAATGTATACTTTCTTCCACACGACGACAAAACATTGGCAACTTTCCTGCAAATAAAAAAAACAAAGGAAAATGAAGACAGAGAAACGATTTGGAAACGGACAGTGGTGATGGGTATACAGCACCGGGAGAGGGCAGGTGTGATGGGGCGGCACGTGGAAAC